AAAAAATGAAAATAAAAAAGTAAAGAAATAAAAATTTAAAAAGTGTGCAGTAGTGAAGATCATTCACTTCCTCTATTTTTCTGTTTGGCATGCCTGCTTCTCAGTCTGTACAGTATTGCAATTCCCTGCTCTATTGCTCCTCAGTGTTGTAAGCCCAAGTGTGTGAATGATCGGTCTGCGCACAAGTTTAAGCAGCTTGCACACCTTTCAAATTCTTATGCTCACCCTCTGTGTCATATCGAATGGGTTTCTTTTTAGAGATCCCTGTTAGCAGCTCTGAGGACCCCCTTCCACATTCACAGATCATGGCAGCCCCAACATCCTCGGACTTTTCTAGGCACAGACTTCCCTGTTCCTCCATGTCGCGCCACTGGGACCAGAGACCTCACCTTATCCCCGGCAAAATCTGACCTTTCTGTGGTGGAGTGAAGAGCTCCCTTGAATTCGCGTGTTTGTGCCGATTGGGGACCGGTGTTCTGGGGCTCTCGGCTGTTCGGTGGTCACCACAGTTGTGGATTTTCAGGCTTCCGATAAGATACACTTTCCTTTGCAAGATGGCACAGTTTTCCGTGTGAGCCCATAGCTCCAGGAGAGGACCCAGCCGCAGTGGGGGCTGCTCAGTCAGGGAACCCCGTCTACCAGTCCCCCACCTTCTCCTAGAGTTCAGCTGTCCCTTAGCTTGCCAACAAACACTCCCTGTGCGACCCTCAGCTGATCCTTCTCTGAACCGCTTTCTTACACCTTACACCAGTGGTCAGCAAACTGTGGCTTGCAAGCCACATGTGGCTCTTTGGTCCCTTGAGTGTGGCTCTTCCACTCCAGCTTTGGAGTACCCTGATTAAGTTAATAACAATGTACCTACTTATATAGTCTAAGTTTAAAAATTTGGCTCTCAAAAGAAATTTCAATCGTTGTATTGTTGATATTTGGCTCTGTTGACTAATGCGTTTGCTGACCACTGCCCTACACCAAACAGATGTTGCCCTTAAAACACCTCTTCAGCCCCCACCTTAGGTTCTGCTTTTGCATTTCACCCAGGTTAGGTTCTGATTGGTCACTTTCTATGCCAGTCAGCATCAAAAGCTCTGCCTCCTAGTCAGCTATTGGCTCTTCTGGGAAATCCATAATGTCCCCACTAACAGTTGCCTTTCTCTCCAGGCCTATCTCTGGGCCTGATCTGCCGCCTCAGCAGCCGCAGCTGATCAGGCCCTGCCCCCCTCTCTCCCCATATCTCACTAGCAGCCATGGCAGCTGCTGATCAGACCCCACCCATTCTCTCTCCTGGCCTCACCAGCACCCACTAAGGCTATGGATCAGGCTTTGCCTCTCTCTCCAGGCCTCTCTCTGGGCCTGATCCAGATCTGTCAAAATTAGGAAAACTGCCTAATTCTGGGCTGGAGGCTAACAACCTACTGTGCCCACTGAACCCCGCCGACCCCATCACCTGCTGCCTTGCTGTGATAGGAGCCTGTGAGCTGCAGGGGAGGGACTGAGAGGTGCTTCATGCACTTCCTGGTGACAGGTCATCCATCTGGTCATTTAGGTCTTGACGGCTCTAGGCTATTATTACTATAGATAATATCTAGTGATCTTTATTTAAAATATTTTTTCAAGAAATCTTTATTGTTCATATTATTACAAATGTTCCTCATTCCCCCCGCCCCCCAATCCATTGCTCCCCTCCACCAGGTTCCCACCCTACCCTCTGCCCTTTCCCCATCTCCTCATTGTGCACAGGTTATGTTCAGTCTCTTTCCGCATCTACAAACTTCCCTTTACCCTGAGAATCATCAGTTCACTACCCTTCCATATCTCTGATTCTTTTATATTCACCAGTTAATATTGTTCATCAGATTTTTAAAATTCTCTTGGTTTTTAGATTCACTTGTTGATAGTTACGTATTTGTTGTTCGTAATATTTATCTTTATCTTCTTCCTTTTCCTAAAGAACCCCCTTCAGCAATTCATATAATTTTGGTTTGGTGGTGATGAACTCCTTTAGCTTTTCTTTTCTTTTCTTTTTTTTTTTTTTATTTTTTTTTTTTATTAGTGAAGCTCTTTATCTAGCCTTCAATTCTGAGTGATAGATTTGCTGGGTAGAGTATTTTTGGCTGTAGGTTCTTGCTATTCATAACCTTGAATATTTCTTGCTATTCCTGTCTGGCCTGCATGGTTTCTGTTGAGAAATCAGCTGACACTCATATGGTGCTCCTTTATAGGTAACTACCTGCTTTTCTCTTGCTGCTTTTAATATTCTCTCTTTGTCTTTTGCTCTTGGAATTTTAATTATAATGTGTCTTGGTCTGGTCCTCTTTTGATTACTTTTGTTTGGTGTTCTGTGTGCTTCCTGGACTTGTAGGTCTAATTCTTTCACCAGGTGGGGGAAGTTTTCTGTCACTATTTCTTCCAGTATGTTTTCAATACCTTGCTCTCTCTCTTCTTCTGGGACCCCCGTAATTCTGATGTTGGTTTGCTTGAAGTTGTCCCAGAGGCTTCTTACATTATCTTCAACTTTCTGGATTCTCTTGTCTTCTTGCTTCTGCGGAGGTGTGTCCTCTAGCTCTTTATGTTCTAAATCTTTGACTTGGTTCTTGCGATCTTCCATTCAGTTTTTAGGACTCTATAATATTTTTTAATCTCAGACAATGTATTCTTTATTTCTAGTTGATCCCTTTTCATATCCTCATATGTCTCATTTATTTTATTGGCCTTTTCTATGAAATTCTTGAAAAACCTTATATCTGTTGTTTTGAACTCTATATCCAGTCGCTTTTTGTCCTCCATTTCTTTCATTTGTCATCTATTTCTTTGTCTTGGAATTTTCACTGCTTCCCTGAGTTGGTAGGGTGGCTTTGTGTGCTAAGGTGTTCTATATGGTTCAGTGGGTCAACCTCCCAGTTTTCTGAGGTGGACACTCTTGGTGCCCCTTTTTGTGGACTGTGTGTACAGCCTTGTTGTAGTTAAGTCTTGATTGTTGTTGGTATCAATGAGAGGAACTGACCTCCAGGCCAATTGGCTGTGAGGTTCAGCTGTGTCTATGCCAGGAGACTTGGAAAATTGCAAAAGCCTCTGCTCAGCTTGGATGGGGCAGAGTTTCAGGATGGAGCCTACAGCCTTGGCTTCCCATCAGCCCCACCCTATGAGGTTCCTGAGTCTCAGTGTTCCTCAGTGTCCTTTGGTACTCACTGCAAGCACCTCTGAGAGAAAGGTGCCCTCGAGTTTCGCCCGGTACCAAAACAGTCTAGCTCTCCCCCAGTGAGTCTGGAATTGGGGTTCAGTTCAGTTGGAAATGGGGTTGGAAGTGGGGTTCAGAGCAGTCTGGAGCTTTTGTCTTCTTCCCACTTGGGCAATCCAGCAGCACAGTCAACAGTCTGTTCTCTGCATGCAATGTGCGCGCCTCTGGGACTTCCTTTCTCCGCTCCTCTGAGTTTCCACCTTATAGCCCAGACTCCCTCCTTATGTGTCTTGGTCCCCAGGGTCTCCCCCATAACTGGGTGCTTTCAGAACTGGGGCTCAGCACAGTCTAGAGCTTTTATCTCCTTCCCACTAGGGAACGCCAGCCAGGCACTCACCTGCACCCTCCTCTCCAGTTCCGTCCTCTCCCCACACGCACCATGTCTCCATACCTTAGGCTTTTACAGCTCCTCTGATTTTCCTTCTGGTTTTCTCTTTACTTCTAGTTGTAGAATTTCCAGCCAGTCAACTTTCTTATAATTATGGATAATGTCCATTTTGTATTTTAGTTGTATTTTTTTGAAATTGTGTGAGCCTGCAATTAGGCCTTTACCTATGCCACCATCTTGGTTTCTCCCCTTAGTGATCTTTAAATACCTAGGAATAGGGAACCTTTTTTTGCCATGGGCCATTGGGTATTTATAGAATCATTTGTGGGCCATACAAAATTATCAATTTAAAAATTGCCTGCTATATTTGTTCAAACATTTAATTAACTCATCCCGAATGCAATGGCAAGGCCAGACCAAATAATTTTGTGGGCCTTATATGGCCTGTGGGCTGGACATTCTTTACCTATGCCCTAGACTCTAAGTCCCTGAGGAGGTATCGTGAGGTAAAGAGATAAGAAAAAGAGAAATATTAGTAATTACTTGGGTCTTTTTTATTCTCTCTGCCCATGCTTCCCACCCCTGTGTGTGTGTGTGTGTGTGTGTGTGTGTGTGTGTGTGTGTGTGTTGGATTAAATTTCGGGGTTACCTACAAAAATTAGGAAAACTGCCTAATTCTAGGAACTAGGACAAAAATGGAGAAGTTCAGCTTACTATGTTATCCAGTGATTTAAATGGGAATTATTTCCTTTTAGATTCTATATTGTTAAATGATTTTTATATTTATAATACATAATAACAATAAAGCAACAGAACACTTTTCTTTCTAAGTTCCTTCCCATTTTTCCCACTGCAGTAATATTCTGTTTAAAGATCAAGTTATTCATGCTAGAAGACATGTGTTAAGTAGATGACAATGAAAGTGGCTGGAAGTAGTATTGGTATTTAGGTTTATATCAGATTTCTTTCAGAAATTTCACAAAATTGACCTATTTTATTAATTTGAATAATTCTATATTAAATTCATTATTTCTGTTGTACGCCCTAAAGAACAACTCCAAATTTTTCAGGGATGATGGCAGGTGGACTATATTGATGTGAATTTTTGTTTCTTGTACTTTTCCCCTTGTGTGTGTGCATGTGTGTATCTGACCTTTGATAGTTGGCTTCTGATCCATACACTCTTTGAAGCAATATGTATTTGGAAATATTACAGAATAAAACTGAATGTTTATTGAGCTCATTTAAGATAGGCACCTTACTCCTCCCTAATATATCAGATCAAAAATTGGAATGAATTCCCCCTTCTTTTCTTAAAGCTTTTGGTGTTTTAGTATAGTTTTAATAATTGGCATTTATAATCTTTGAATAGAAATGTTTTAATAGTGCAATGAATTTTGTGAGATGAACTTTGCTACTAAAATTTTCTGTTTTCAGAGGAAGAAAAAGTGGCTTTTGTTAACTGGATAAACAAGGCCCTGGAGGATGACCCTGACTGTAAGCATCTCATACCCATGAATCCCAGTGACGGAAGTCTTTTCAAATCACTTGCAGATGGCATCCTACTTTGGTAAGCTGAGCATTGGGATGGGGGGAGCTCTGTTCTCACAGTATCCATTGAAGAGCATTTAAAGAAAATTATAATCAGCAAATCCATTGTCTTTTGGAACTAGTTAACGAGTAGCTACATAGGTCTTGAAGAATTTATATCACATAGAAAATTAAGTGCTATATATTTTCTAGAATTTTCTTTCAAATGTAACTTCTTCATTTTCTGATGTCTTTTTATTCTATTACCTTAATAGAAACTTTTATAGACACTTTTATAGACACTTTTGAGATCTTCCTCTGATGTATTTTACAATGTTCACAGGGTTTCTCTTTTTACTTTTCAATAGGGGAGTGCTGACTGTTGACGGGGACAGGAACATAAGTTAATGTAGAAGTTAATGATATAATGTAAAAATATATCACATTTATGCTTGAATGACATTAATGTTGTAGTTCAGGCTTGCTTATTCCTTGATTCTTTGCAGACTGTTTCTGCTTACTCCTTTGGAAACTCTCAAAGGGTATGTCTTACTTTGTTGCATGTACTATAGTCTTAGCATAGTTCTTGGTACAAAACAAATGTGTGTGTGTTTTTTTTTTTTAAGTTTATAAAAATACAGAATATTTACCATCACAGTCTTATCACCCATATTTAGCCATTATTAGTATTCACAAATATTTCTTCCAGTTGGATTTCTGTGTTTTTACTTGAATAGAAGAAACACATATTCATGAGTACTGTATATGTTTTTATTTTATTTTTATTTTTTAAATTAATTTCTTAATAATTACAGTATTACATAAGTCTCCTTTCTCCCTCATTGACCTCTCCCTGGCTGCTCCCACCCCCAGCACCTGCCTTCAATCCCCTATTGTCTGTATTCATTGATTATGTTCAGATTAATGCATACAAGTCCTTTGATTGATCTCTTTACCCCATCACCTTCTGCCTTCCCTCATAGGCTGGACAATCTGTTCAACGCTTCTATGACTCTGGTTCTAATTTTGTTCATCAGTTTATATTGTTCATTATATTCCACAAATCAGTGAAATCATGTGATATTTATTCTTCTTTGACTGGCTTATTTTGCTTAGCACAATGCTCTCCAGTTCCATCCATGCTGTTGCAAATGGCAAGAATTCCTTCTTTTTTTTACAGCAGCGTAATACTCCATTGTGTAGATGTACCACAGTTTTCTAATCTACTCCTCTGCTGATGGGCACTTAAACTGTTTCCAAATCCTAGCTATTATAAATTGTGCTGCTATTAACATAGGGGTGCATATATTCTTTCTGTTCGGTGTTTCTAGCTTCTTGGGATATATTTCTAGAAGTGGGATCACTGGGTCAAATGGCACTTCCATTAATTTTTTGAGCTTTCAAAGTAAGGCAAAGAGTAGCTGGAGCTGTGGTTCCTTCACTTCCTTGTTGCTCTCTCTGCCTCACTCTTAACTGAGAAACTTCAGATTTTGAGTGAAGAGGATGTTCCTAGCTACTAGCATAAAGGACCAGAAGAAAGTGAACAGATTTTTTAAAGAGAGAAACCAAGATAGTGGCAGGAGGTAAACACCTATACTGTTGCCTTACACAATGATTTTAAAACCACAAGTGGAAGACAGAGCGAACATCATCCAGAACCACTGGAAAGCTGGCTGAGTGGAAATTCTACAACTAGGAGGAAAGATAAAAGGACACTGAGACCTAGAGGAGCTGTGAAAGACAGGTGTGGAGATCGTATATGCACAGAAAGGGCAGGCAGCTGAATATACGGCTGGCTTATTTGCGGTGCTTGGAGAGGACAGGCAGCAAAGCAAGCGCGAGGCTAGTGTTCTTGTTTGGGAGGGAAACAAAACCTCTAGACTGCACTGAAATCCTGTACAGATGAGACTTTGAATACCCAGACTCATTAGGGGAGAAATTGGACTGTCTGGCAGCAGGCAAAACTCAAGGCCAGCCTTCTCTCAGAGGTGTGTGCAGCCATTGCTGTGGGAAAGGAGACACAGGGGCCATCTAGGGTGGGGTTGATGGGGGGGAAAAAGCTGTTTGCTCCCCCCTGAGACTCTACCCCATCCAAGCTGAGCACAGAAGCTCTCCCAGTCCAGTGACAAAGCTGATCCTCACAGCCACTTGGCCTGGAGGTCAACTCCCCCCGGGTGATACTAACAACAATGTATGCTTAACTACAACAAGACTGCAAACACAGCACATAAAGGGGCACATGAAGAGTGTCCACCTTAGATAGCTGGGGAAGCTGAGCCACTGAGCCTTATAGGACACCTAGCACACAAAGCCACTCCATCAACTCAAGGAAGCAGCTAAAATTCGGAGACAAAAAGGCAGGCCACAAATGAAGGAAATGGAGGAAAGTAAACAAATGGATTAGAGTTCAAAATCATGGTTATAAGATTTTTCAAGAATTTCCTATAAAAGGCCGATAAATTTAACAAGACCCTCGAAGATATGAAAAAGGATCAACTAGAAATTAAGCATACACTAATATATATATATATATATATATATATATATATATATATATATATATATATATATATATATAACGCAGAGACCTAACAGCAGACTAGAGTATTGTAAGAATTAAGTCAAAGATTTGAAATACAAAGAAGCAAAAAATACTCAACCAGAAAAGCAAAAAGAAAAAATAAATCCAAAAAGTTGAAGATAGTGTAAGAAGACTCTGAGATAATGTCAAGAATACCAACATCAGAATTATGGAGGTCCCAAAAGAAGAGTGAGAGTAAGATACTGAAAACCTATTTGAAAAAATAGTGACCAAAAACTTCGGTCACCGGGTGAAAAAAATGGACTTATAAGTCCAGGAAGCACACAGAACCCCTAACAAAAGGAATCCAAAGATGACAACACCAAGACATATCATAATTAAAATGCCAAGAACAAAAGACAAAGAGAGAATCTTACAAGCAGCAAGAGAAAAAACAGTTACCTACAAGGGAGCACCCATACAATTGTCAGCTGATTTCTCAACAGAAACTATGCCGGCCAGATGGGAGTGGCAAGAAATATTCAAAGTGATGCATAGTAAGAAACTACAACCAAGGTTACTCTACCCAGCAAAGGTATTATACAGAATTAAAGGTCAGATAAAGAGCTTCACAGATAAGAAAAAGCTAAAGGAGTTCACCACCACAAACCAGAATTATATGAAATGCTTAAAGGTATTCTTTAAGAAGAGGAGGAAGAAGAAAAAGGTAAAGATAAAAATTTTGAACAAAAAATCTGTATCAACAAGTGTATCTAAAAACCAAGGGAATAAAAAATCTGATGAACAGTATTAACTGGTGAATATAATAGGGTTAGGGGCATAGAAAGGGAATGGACTGACAATTCTTGGCAGAAAAGAGGAGTGGGGGTGTGGGAAGAGACTGGACAAAAAGCATACACTTATGGTAGAGAATAGTGGGGGGGAGGTAAGGGCAGAGGGTGGGATAGGAACCTGGTGGAGAGGAGCTATGGGGGGAAAAGAGAGTAACAATTGTAATAATCTGAACAATAAAATTTATTAAATTTAAAAAAGAAAAGTTTGTTGGAGTACGGTTATTCATAGTATTTTAAAAATATATTTTATTAATTAAAAATAAATAAATCTTTATTGTTCAGATTATTGAACTGCTGCTGTAGAGCCTAGGACCATTGGAAAACACATATTTACATTACGATTCATTAACAGTAGCAAAATTACAGTTATGAAGTAGCAATGAATATAATTTTATAGTTGGGAGTTACCACAACATGAGGAACTGTATTAAAGGGTCACGGCATTAGAAAGGTTGAGAACCACTGCTCTAGCCATCTGTTGGATCTCTGTATATTATTCTTCATTTCAGTCAGTGTTTGCTTAATTTCTAGTTGATTTTTTTTTTTTCATATCCTCTAGGGTCTCAATAAATTTATTAGCGGTTTCCGGAAGATTCTTCTTTTAAAAAAAAATATATATATATATTTTATTGTTTTTGTACAGAGAGGAAGGGAGAGAGATAGAGAGCTAGAAACATCGATGAGAGAGAGTCATCGATCATCTGCCTCTTACACACCCCCCACTGGGGATATGCCCGCAACCAAGGTACACGCCCTTGACCGGAATCGAACCTGGGTCCCTTCAGTCCCCAAGCCGACGCTCTATCCATTGAGCCAAACCGGTTTCAGCAGTTTCCAGAAGATTCTTGAAAAACATTATAACCATAGTTTTGAACTCTATATCTAGTAGCTTGCTTGCCTTCATTTCTGTCATTTGTGACCTGTTTCTTTTTCTCCACATTTTGGCTGCTTCCCTGTATTGTTAGAATGGCTTTGTGTGCTAGGTGTCCTATAGAGCCCAGTGGCTCAGCCTCTCCAGTTACCTGAGGTAGACACTCTTGGTACACTCCTTTGTGGGATGTGTGATCAGTCTTGTTGTAGTTTGGCCTTGACTGTTGTTGATATCACTAGGAGGAATTGACCTCCAGGCAAATTGGCTGTGAAGATCAGCTGTATCTACAATGAGGAACTAATGTGCTGGAGACACCCTTATGAGGCAAGACTTGCTTCAGTGGGCTTTGGTGCTCACTGAGTTGTAGTTTGAGTGTGTACCTTATGGATCTGAGGAGTTGTAATCTGTATGGTCCCACTCTGACCATTGGGAGATCCAAGGAGGTGCAAATTTAGCCTCTGCTTAAGGCCACCCAGCAGGAGCTATGGAGAGATTTGCAGATTCCACTTTGTTTGGGTTTTGGAGGTGCCCCAATGAGGCCCAGCTATGAAGCATTGCAAGCTTTGGGCCTTCTTTTGGATATTCTGGGTCTCTCTGATTCAGCTGCAGTTTGTTAGGTAAATTTAGATTTCAAAGGACCAAGCCATTCATATGCAAATGCCTCTTTGCACAGCTTGGGTGGGGCGGGGTCTCAGGGCAGAGCAAACAGCAATGGCTTCCCTTCAGCCCTGCCCTAAGAGGCCCCTTGGTGTCAGTTTTCCTTGGTAATTGATGCAAGCACCTCAGAGAGAATG